ATGCCATTTTAGCAGGTCCAAACTCATTAGGAAAAGAGGGTTGGGAAGAAAAAGAAATAAATGTATATACGGATTTTCCAGAAGGGAAAAAAAAAACAGGACAGGCATAGTATACAAGCATAGCAGAAAGACCTTTCTTTCACCAAGGTTTTAACTAGGTACATCTAAATCCTCATCTAATGCAACCAAATACAAAAAGCACGATCATGAAGCTTAAATTGGTTTAAGATACAAGACAGCTTTGCAGTCAGTCTTAGGAAACTGTTACAGGTGATTATGTCATTCATTTAACAGATGAATTACATTCATGCAACTGTTTCTGAATAGTAAATTTTCATCTCTAAACCTGGTTTATGTACTCCATTTATTTAATGGAGTACAATTTCTGACCATACTGTTTCCATGCTAACACAAAAGAACAATTTCTCATATGCAGACTTTTGCATAGAACCAGAACAATGTGCACTTGTAGAAGAAATTCTAAGCTACCATCCAACAAGTGTGGTTGGTTATGCTTGATTGGTGGTTATGCTTGATTTTCCCAGAGAAGGAGAGTCAGCTAAGCTCAAAAAACTGTATATGGGAAAGGGCGTGCAAGTCCATAATCAACCAGTACAGTCAGAAAGACTACTGGAATCGCTAGCTGTGGAACTGGGTGGCTTTCATAGGCATAGTCAGAGCTGATCATGCAAGCAAAATGGAAGAAATAACTCAGGGATGCAAAGAGAATTACTTCAAGGATTAAGAAAGAAAAATCATAAGCCCAACTCCATTATTATTACATCTGGAACAGCACAAAGGGAGGAATTTAATTAAAATCTCAGGCCGTTATGACCTCAACCCTGAGAACATAACTTTGACCTCCAACCTCTCTGTGTCCAAATGATTTTCAGGGAAAGCCACTCTAAATGAAGCAAATTTGCCACTATGTTTAAAAAATAAAAAATAAAAATAAAAAAATCTTCAAATAAAGCTTGCTAATAGCCACTGTTAAGTACAACTAACAAATCTAGAAGATCAAAATAAACTTTTAAGTGCATTTCTGCTGTCTAGTAAGTTAAAATACATTTAGCACTGTCCTTCAAGTAAGTAATCAATTGAGCCTCAGCACTCATCATGTCAGTCTAGGTACTTAAACTAACAGATAGTTGAGGTACACCAGGAAATGTCAGAGCCAATTCTTCATATGTAAAGAATTTACAAGTTAGTCCACTGTATTGCAGCTTTCAGTTTGTTCTTTCAGATGACAAACTAGAGAAAGAAAAAAAAAAAAAAAAAAGATGATACATGAAAAAGTAAAATAGAAAAAAAAAATCTGCAGACAATGCACTGGCCATACTCACGTATTTTCACCACTAAATGATTTTTGTGGTTACAAACATTTTATGGACATTATGGGAAAACATAGCAGAGATGACTTGTTAAAGCATAATGTCATTCTTAGTTGAGCACTCAAGATTTGCATTTTATTCTGTAAAATGGTAATAATCATGTAATAACTGAATATAGTATCATACACTGACTGTCCGATTATGCATGGAGTGGAGTTCTTAAGTAAAACAGAAAAACTTGATGACCACTTGCAAGTCAGCAAATAACATGACATTCATCACAGTGACCTAAAAATATAACCTTCCTCTAGTTAATTAAGTACAGCACAGCATATCATTGCACACAAACAAAACACACAGAATGCTTCCCACCTTAAACAGAAATGAAATTATGCTATTTTAAAAGCAAGGCCATCCTCACTCGTAAGCATTGTGGATGGTTTTTTTGCCACCAAAACACAAGCCCTTTTAACATAGACAAAATTTTAAGTTACTGTCAATCACAAAGGCAGAACATGAAGTAGGTACCCAATAACGACAGCCTAAATACACATCTACAGGGATAATAAGACGTCTGTTTCTTGTCATTTTAAAGAGATGAGGAAAGTAATGGTAGAACCAGTTGCACTTGCCTATTTCTTCCTTACAGTTTCACTTGCACTGTGATGATGCGCGCACGTGCACGCGCACACACACACACCTCCCCTAAGCACTTTCCCCCATAAGCTCTGTCAGTTTCTAACTGCTGTTTGAGTGAGAGGCAGTCATTAGTGTGCTAAGCAGTCACCTTTTCAGCACAAAGAACAGGTAACTCGAACTCACCAGTTTGTCACTCCCTCTACTTTTGGATGACCTATGCTACCCCATAATTTTGAAGTACTTGTTCTGATTTAAAAAAAAAAAAAAAAAAAAAAAAAAAGTGGATAAACAATATCACTGATAATGCCACTGTTGTTTTATTCCTTCCTACAGTGCTGCAACATGATTGCAAGACTTCCAGGTCTGTGCGGAAACAAACTTCAATCAAACTTCTAGTAGCAAATAAGGCTTTCAATCTCACATGGTCTCACTACACTGTATACAGTTTTCAGGCTGTTGATTTAAATACAGAAGCACTTATATCCAGTAAAACTAATTCATGAATCTAATTCAGAGTAAAGTAGCAATCTTTCTCTTGGCCACTTAAGAGTAAATTACAGAACAAACCAGCATATACAGCACATCTTCATTCAGACATACAGCAGTGCTATTTATCATAACAGCAAGGATTGCTTTCAATGCAGAATAATCCTTTTGTCTCCTTTTTATTACACTTACTTCCAAATATCAACTAAACTTACAGTCTAATACACAAAACTTGTGTTTTCAAATAGGCAGGTGCGAAGAATATGACACTATAAACTTACTTCAAGACGGAACTTCAAAAGATGTCTCACATAATTAAAAGATCCTAGACATGGGCAGCTTCTTCCTGGCTTTTAACTTACTTCAGTCAAGCTGTCCTGAGTAAGTTTCCTCTGTATTTCCTTTAAACCCAACAGTGTGCCTAATCTAGCAGGCTGGAGTGGTTTGAAACATCATTATGCATCCTTGCTAGCAATAACAAAAACAAAACCATGTTCAAATCACTAAACCAGTCAACACTACTGACTACATTCTTTTGCATCTTCAAACACCATTATCAACACAAGCTTTTATTTAGTACCTCTACTTCCAATTGTGTGTCAACTGGACAACATTTCCAAAACAACAACAAAAAAGTAAAAAAGAAAATGTCTAATACATACAAAGAATATCATTACATTTTTCTTACATTTGAAGCCAATGTCTGTCAAGACAGTAGGTAAGGAATGAAATGCTACCAGCTGCATACTTTTCAAAACATTACATTCACAACCACTTTGCAAGTTATATCTAGCTCAGAGCTTTAATGGAAGTGCTGCTTCTTACAGACGAGTCAGTATTTTATTCTGGAACTATTTTAGTCTTGGGAGATCTCTACATGTAAGAAAAAAAAAAAAAAAAAGAAAGACAAAATCTGAAAAGGCTACCTAACAGTCATTTGGGGGGGAAAAAAAACTAAATAAGTGGAAGCTGTTGAAGCAAATGTAGAAACATTACCTATGTCTCAAGTATAAAGTTGAGAGGTGACCTTCCCTTACTGATTCTACATAGCCAGTGTGAGTAGGCTGGGCAACTGCAGCAACTACAAACGACTTGGGAGTATTGGTGGAGGTAAGCTGGAGGTGAGCCAGCAATGTGCCCTCACAGCCCAAGAAAGCCGACAGTATGATAGGCTGCACCAAAGGCAGTATGGTCAGAAGGGTGAGGGAGGTGATCTTTCCCCTCTCTTGCCCCTTTGCCCTGTGCTGGAGAGGCCTCACCTGGAGTACTGCATCCAGATGTGAAGTCCTCAATACAGGAGATGCATGGACCTGTTGGAGTGTGTCCAAAGGAGGGCCACAAAAAATGATCCCTGCACCTGGTGACACGTGAGGTCAGGCTGGATGTGGCTCTGAGCACCTGACTGAGCTTTAAGTGTCCCTGTTCATTGCAGGGCAGTTGGACTACATGATCTTTAAGGGTCCCTTCCAACTCAAACAATTCTATGATTTTATGATTCAATTCCATACTAGCAAGTTCAGCATGGTACTTTACAGCCTTTTAGAAGCAGAAATCTTTCAAGGCGTGGTAATTATCAATACCAGGAATAGCAGAAGTTATTATGCTTGCATTGATACAAGTTGGCTTTAACAACATTTTAAAAACATTCTGTGTTGATTGTCTATGCTGACATTAGAGCCACCAGATCAGGTGGGCTGCACAAACCCACATACAGAACTGAAGCAGATTTCCATCATGTAGAATTTTACGTAATGCTTTGAAAGCTGCATCCTTCCAAGCTTCCAGTTGCAGTACTCTTACACATCTCTTTAGAAAAGGGACAGGTGTTTTCCTAACTATGTTCCTAAGGACATGGTCTCACCGAGTACCATCAGTTCTACTCTGTTCAGTTCTGTATTCTCATAAACACAACGTAAGATAGCTGTAAGAACAACTTAAGTTGAAGGAATCATAGAATGGTTTGGGCTACAAAAGACCTCAAGTATCATCTACTTCCAAGCCTTCTGCCATGAGCAGGGCTGCCTCCCACCAGCTCAGCTGCCCAGGGCCTCATCCGACCTGGCCTTGAGTACCTCCAGGGGTGGGGCATCACAGCCTCTCTTGGCAGCTGTGCCAGAGCCTCATCACCCTCTGGGTAAAGAATTTCTGACTAACACCTAACCTGAATCTCCCCTCTTTTAGTTTAAAGCTGTCCTCCTTTCTCCTATCACTATCTACTTGTACGAAGAATTGATTTCCCTCTTAAGAGCCCTTTCACTATTGGAATGCCACTATCACGTCTCTCCCGAGCCTTCTCTTCCCCAGGCTGAATAAAACTAGTGGAAGGGTGCAAGGCTTCTATTTCAATTCATTTTGTCACCAACCAAAGGGCTGTGTAACTGCATAGCATCCTTTAAGAAACACACAGTGAGTTTCACGGTACAGACTCCTTATCTGACCTGCAACTAAAAATATATATATACATATGTAAAGTTCACACATGCCCTACCAAATGGCAACAACAGTTCAGAAAAAGCAAAACAACAACAAAAAAAGCCACAGTACCTGGTAGCAAGAAGACCTGTAACAATGTACTTAGCAGGCTTCAGAGAGGGAATCAGTTTACATTAGAAGATCAATCTATGGATGAGATGAAGCAGTTAAGACGAACCTAGGTTTGAGAAGCAGCTCAACTTTTCTCCCCCCTCCTTCTCCATTTTAAAATGCAAATCTTTTCACCCACAACCTTAGCTGTTCTGTGAGACTCCAGAAGGCAATTATGAAAGGCAATCTGGAGAAATACTGGAAGTATTTGCTGTTTTTCTTGGATGTTCAAGAGCGTACAGGGACAATGAAATGGAGTTTCTGAGTCCTGGCTCCTCAGACACATCTATTTCCTGCAGAAGGCAGGAAATGGCTAGGCTGCTTCAACACAAAGCCTGCATACAGCGATACTTCCATACTTCCAAAAATACCTGCGAAGCAGCAAAGGAAGACCCAGGCTGTGGTAACAGCAGACCTCCACTGCGCCCCGTTCCGCTCAGGGCACGTTCGCTCCAAACGAACACCCCTCGCTTTGGGTCTCGAAGGAGCCAACCCAAGTCACTAAAACTTGCAGAAAACCACCACAAGCTGACCACGCGAAACTCGCACACCCACACACCTCGGACTATGCGCATCCAGCCACTCCAGCGCCGGCAGCACGACTTTGTTTCTCGGGGCTTCGGGGCCCCCCATGCCTACCTGCGTGCCCCCAGACCACGGGAGGGGCTGCGCGGAGATCGCAGCACACAGTTCCAATAAAGCCATACGCAAGCCCCGCATCCCCCTCCCCCCACCTCACCCCCCGACGGCGCACACGAAGTTGACGCGCAGCCCCCACGCACACAGAGGCATCGGGGCCGCTCCCTCGCCCCTTCCCACCCTGCCGCGGGCCGCACGAATCCCACGCACGGGCCGCCCCCCGCCCCAGGGACGCTGCAGGCCCCGGCCCCACTGACCTGCCGGGGTGGGGGGCGGCGCCGTGTCCGTGTGCGGGGAGGGGCGCGGTATCCGGCCGCCGGGGGGGTCCGCCGCTTCGCGAGCCGCCGGCGCCCTGCCCTGCCCGTCCTTCGTGGGGAGAGGGAGGGCGAGAGGAGGGGAGGGCTAGCGGGGTAGGGGGGGAGGGGAGGAGAGGGATACCGGCCCCTCTTCCCCTTCCCCTCGCGGAAAATGAAAAATAAATAAAAATTAAAAAAATAAAAAATAAAAAACGGCGTGTGGGGGAGGTGTTTAAAATTAAAAGGCTCGGCCTGGAGTTTAAAACAAAGAGGCGGAAATAGCCGAGCGCGGCCCGAGAGGAGCCGAGTGGGGGCGCTGGGCTCAGGGCGCATGCGCCGGGCTCGGAGCTCGCTGCTCCCTCCCCCGAGGAGAGGGGCGGCTCACGCGCGTGCGTGCCGGGGGGCCCTGTGCTGGGGGGCGGCTGCTGTGCCGTGCCGTGCTCTCGGTGTCAACGCTCCCGGTTGCTGCGGGAGGTGCGAGGCTGAGGGAGGAAAGGGTCTTGGAGCGTGCGGAAGGCGTGGAACGAGGAGAGAACGGGAAGTGTGTGTGTGAGAGACTGCGTTGTGTTAGCTGGTGCCGAATTCGGCTCAGATGGGGTCCGTACTGCGCTCACACCGCTCCTTGTGCGGCTTATCCTGTGTTCCTACTACAGACCTTCCTATGACATGCAGCTTAGACCGTGGGTTAGAATAGCTTAAAGACGTATCTGTCACAATCAGACCAGATAGAAGATGCAACTCCTTGCCCCTGTTCCAGCTAGCCAATTGGCTATGGTCTTTAGAGGTTTATCTGCTGTGGCATAGCTTTATCTACGAGCCACCCTCCCTTCAGATCTGCCAGCTGTGTCATGGACCTATCCACAGCCACACGTGTTCAAGGTCTACCTACTCAAGTGCGGATTTACTAATGAGCCACAGCTTTGTACCTGCTGCAGCATGGACTTATCCATAACTGCTGTTTTGAGGTGTTCCTGCCCTGGCACAACATCTTTAATTGGCCACAGTCTTTTTAGATACTTGCTGTGTTGCAGTCTCATTCCCGGCCACAGATGCTTCAAGGTATTCTGGGCTGTACCTGCTACATTGCAGACTTTTCCATGGCCACAAATGCACCAGGGTTTATATTCTCCTGTGTGGGCTTATCCACAAGTCACTAGCTCAAGTTCTGTCTGGAGTTTCAGCCTGTCTAGTACAGCAGCACAGCAACAGCAGCAATGCTTTGGCTCTCTACCAGCCCAGGCACATGGCCATGGCTGTTACCAAAGTGATCCCAGGCATAGCAAAACAATATGCTAAGAAGTACAGCAAAGGAATACGGCAGAAGGCAGCCAGTAACAAGCTCTGAACTCTTAGATACAGTAAGGCAAGCAAGTCCTATGGCAAGCACAGGGGCCTACCAATTTGCAGCTAAACAGCCATAATATCTATATATTTGGTGTAGCATACTCCATGCTCCTAACAAATCTTGTCTTCTTCAACACTTTGTGCCACACAGTGGGCCCAAAAAGCACCTGTTGTGTTTAACAGCAAGCAGCCGACCCCTGCACAGACGTTCACTCACTCTCTGTATGTGAGACGGGGAAGAAAAATGAAAAGATAAAAGTGTAAGAACTCCTGGGTTAAGGACAGTTTACTGCTCAAAGCCACAAGAGCAAGCAAAGCAAAGAAAGGGATTTGATCACTACTTCCCATTGGTAGGAAGGTGTTCAGCTACTTCTAGGACAGCAGGGCTCATCATATGTAGTGGTTTCTTGGGAAGACGAATGCTATCAATCCAAACGTGTCCCTTTCTTCCTTCTTTACAAAGTGCATCATATGTTGTGATGGACCACATCCCTTTGGTCTTCTTGTGTCAGCTGTCCTGGCTCTATCCCCTCCCAGCTCCTTCTGCTGTCCCAGCTCCTCACTGGAAGGGCAGTGTAAGCAGAGAAGTCCTTGACCGTATGAAACTGAAACATCTGTGTGTTATCACCGCTATTTTCATCAAAAATCCAAAACACCACGCCATACTAGCATCTCTAAAATTAACTCCATCTCAGCCAAAACCATGATGGGACAGAAATAGCAGTAACGGACTATAAGAGTGTAATTGTAAACTGCATGCCTGCTTATTTATTTATGTATTTGTTTATTTTTGGTACCTACTGTTTCCAGAGCCAAACACTACAGATTCAGAAAACCACTATGTCAGAGTTATTCAGTTTTCTTCTGCTAGGAATGTTTTTCAGAAGATGAAACCTAAAGCAAAGTGACATGGCCATGTCTACTCAAGCAGTTAATTTTCTTTAAAATACCATTTGTTATGAGTGAGTTGTGACCCCGAGAGAGATGAGGCACCAATTTGCTCTCTTTTCAACGTTTTTCCTGTAATATTAGTTCTAATGCCTTTGGCAATGCTGTTTCAGAGTATGCTAGTCCATCCATATCTGCTTATAAAAGCAGCCAGTAACTAGCATGTTTAACATAATGACAGTCCCGAAGAGAGTAATGGAGCAAGTCTACCCATGACGTTTCTGAACACATGAAGGAGAAGAACATGTCATACCAATGGTAAATTGCAGTGGACCAACTTAGCCACTATCTATAATGAAATAACTGGTTTTGCAGATGCTAGGAAAACTGTAGATGTATGATAGTTTGACTTCAGCAACGCTTTTGATACAGTCTCCCACAGTATTCTGGCTCCATAGTAGGACATGACTGCCTGGATGGGTGAAGACTTGGACGGTGAAATATTGGCTGCGCTGTTGGTCTCAAAGGTTATTGGCTAATAGGTGACACTCTGTCTGAAAGCAAGTGACACATGAAGTTCTTCGGGGGGTTTCTGTTTAATACTTTCTTCAGGGTAACTGTGTAATACTTCTGACAATGACTTGGACAATTAAAAATAATTTACACTGTCAAGTTTGTGGACAGCACCAAACTAGCTGTATAGTCAATACTCTGGATGACAGGGCTGTCGTTAGGAGGTGCCTAGATGGGCAGTAGAAATAAAATTCAACAAAATCCTGCACCTGAAGCATACTCCCTGCACTGCAGGCTGAGGTCTGTCTGACTTACAGGATAGTAAGACTGTTGAAGTTACCTAAGGTAAGTTCTTATGAGAGTTCTTATGAGAGTTCTTATGAGACAACAGACTAAATGTGAGCCACAAATATGTCCTGGCAGTGATGAGAAACAACAGCATCTTGGAATATAGCAGGTCAGTACACAGGAAGTTGCAATTGCTTCTTCTTACTTGTCACTTGTTAGAACAAGTCTGGCACAGAACATCCATTTTTGGGTGCATCAATGTGAAAAAGATACTGACAAACTTGAGCAAGCCCATCAGAGGCCACCAACATAGGAGAGGGTGGGAAGAACATGTCCGACCTGGAGAAGCTGAGGGAACCAGACTAGGTCTGCCTTGAGAAGAGAGAGCTTCAGTTAGACCTGCAATAGCATTGACAAGGGAGTTACATACAAAAAGCAGAGCTATAATCTCCAGTGAGATAAACATCAGGAGAATGAGAGACAATGGTCATAAATAGAATCAGTGGAGATTCTGACGGTACAGAAAGTAAAACAGATCTCTCTGAGGACAGCTTAATTTTCAAAGAGGTTCCCCAGATAAACTTGAACCTCTTAGAAGGTTTTTGAAACAAAGCTGGGGAAAGCCCTACTTTAAGAAAAAAGTTTTATCTCTGGGTGTACTTCTCCACCTGAATGTTTCTATAATTCTCGTTTTAATTGTCAAGCAGAGAAATCAAAAATGTCCAGGCAAATTCAGGTTAACTGGAAAAAAAAAAAAGAGAGAGGAAAAAAAAGAGTACTTCAATTGGCTAAGTCGTGCTGGGAGGACAGCAACTTTCTCAGTCTGCCCAAGAGCAAAATTGTGTCTTAGATGATGTGTGAATTCATTGACTTAGGTGACTAAACTTTGTCAATGAACTGCTGACTTTTTCTGTATTTACCCTTCACCTTGGCTGATACACATTTTGTATATGTATATTAAAATATATCTATAATCTCATATTTTGACACCTCTTTTACACTTTTTCCTCTTACATTATCAGGTTTCTTCTTCACAGACGTCACTGAATATGTGTATCAAGAGTTTAAAAACATTCCCCCTCCACCAACTTTTGCAAAGCTGGCATGCACTTAAAGTTTCCATTCTTGAAGATGCAAGAAAATTGGAATTTATTTTACAGACTTGTAGGACGTCATATTGCTTTAGTGAAATGCTTAGAAAATCTGAATGTGCTTCATTTAATAATACCAGAATTATACAGGTGCTGTTCTAGCATAAAGTCAGTCATGATATTTTGGAAATGCAATCATTATTTTTAAAAACTTTGAGAAGACACCATCAGCATTTCTCACTGAATTTGTACAGTTTTCTGCCACATAAGCCTCCCTTTTCCTACTGACATTTGTTAACAATAAAGAGAAGGTGCACAGCATTTTTACAGCAGAGTCACTGGTTGAGGATGAAAGGGACCCCTGGAAATCACACTCAGAAGCCTCCCTGCTCATTTAGAGTCAACTAGACTGAGTTATATTACTTCCTCTGTTTATAACTAGATCAAACACTGTCATTTTGACAGCAGATTTTGGTGTGATTATCCTAATGTCTGAATGTCAGCACTATAGTTTGATTCTTACTCAAGAACCACTGGGAACTGTGTTCTGAACTTCAGCTTTACCACAAGTAGATTCTGGCTTCAGAGATGAAATCTATTAATCCTCCCATTAAAAACCAGAGATTTAGTGGATCGGTATAGGAAAACAAGCAGAGGAAGCGGGAAACCGACATGGCTTGGCAAAGACTTGCAGATCAAACCGAGGGATAAGAAGGACACATACAGAGAGTGAAAACAAGGATGCTTCACCTGGGAAGAATACATGCTGTCTGGACATGCAGAGAAGGGATAAGGAAAGCCAAGACTGCACTCAGCAGGGGATGTAAAAAATGACAGAAGAGACCATGGAGTGTCTACACCCTCTGATACATGCAAAGAGAGAACTGAGTACAACAGACA